TGTAAAAACATAAACCAACGAACCAGTCCTAGGCTGTGATTTTTACTGTGGAGCTTATTTACGCATGACCGCACACTGTGACCCATTTTCCGGTTAGAATGTGTCGGCAACTTTGGTGTAAATAAAGTGCTATTCAAATTGTTTACGGGCTCGCAGTAAGTACTAATTGTTGTTAATCAACATTGATGAAGTTTGTACAGTCAAACACATTTTAATGCCATAAGTTTATTTGAAGTAATTATGACCGAGCGTAAGCTGCTCTATGAGAACAATGTTTACCGTAGCACGTATCAGATAATTAAAGAATATATGATAGACTTGTGAATCTTAAGAAACTTCGAGGTAGGAGATATTTTTATGTAGGATTTTCGTTGTTGGGACCGATGTTTCACTTCGAGATATCCGAGTTTTTCGAGTTTTCAGAGTTCGAATTATCAGAGTTTTTATTACTAAGATTAAGAAGAGTTTTGGCCGGGACCGATGAAATACTTCGAGTTAAACGGGGTATTCGAGTTATACGAGTTCGAGATAACGAGGTTCGACTGTACATGGATATATATACATATTTATAAATGTCGATAATAAACGCCATATATACATGCAGATCGAACTCGAATTTGGATAGTAAACTACTCTTTCTTTTTCATTATCATATACATTTGATGGATGTAATAAATCTATTATAGGGCATGAGCTAGATTGACCATACACCAATGACTACAAGTAAACACCAATACACCAATGACTATAAATCAACGACCATACACCAATGACTATACATCAACGACCATATAAAAATGACTATAAATCAACGACATACACCAATGACTACACATCAACGACCATACACCAATGACTATAAATCAACGACATACACCAATGACTATAAAAACAACGACCATACACCAATGACTATAAATCAACGACCATACACCAATGACTATAAATCAACGACCATACACCAATGACTATAAATCAACGACCATACACCAATGACTACACATCAACGACCATACACCAATGACTATAAATCAACGACATACACCAATGACTAATATAAGAATAAAGAGAAGATAGACGAGTGTTGTCATGACATAGTNGAGTATACAACAACGACCATATATAAATTACTATACATCAACGACCATTCTTCCGAAGGGTTAAAATTGGCTCCTACCTCTCTATCAAAATTCTAAAATTTAACGGAGCTCTCAGTACAATATCACTTAAAATGTTTTTATATACTTTTACTTGATTTGTTTTTGAAATAATCAATACAGGTGCATGTATTATGACAGAATACATAACGAGGCCATTTTCTAATATTTTGGAATCTCGAGTTGTTTATTTCAAAATTTTATACCATCATAGGCTGATTATGTCTATTCTACCACATGGAAATAAAATTGAATGTTCCTACATGTATGCCTAGTTAAGGGCCTATAAGACAACGTGACCTAACTAACCTGGCATGGCTGTTCTTTTGCACGGGTAAACGCTTATCAATTGATGCCTCGTTTTCATTTTACCATCACACGCACACACACCCTCACACACGCGCGCTTGCGCACACGCGTACGACTATTTTGTACACGGAGGCTTTTGGAAGAACGTTCAAAGTGCATATTTTGGTGGAAATTAAAAAATGCACGCGCGTGGTCAATAGTTTAATAATATATGGTTATAAAATAGTTGAATGTGTCATTATCGCCGATTTGGTACAGTTACATGTATCAATAACTGTCAGAGTACCGATATTTTATTTTAATCACTGATTTACGGAAACGACATAAATTCTGCATTGATGTTAAATAAAATGTTGATGAAAGCTTAATTGTTCACCGTCGCCCCATGACAGCTCTAAAACGGAATCTGATAAGGCGATTGAAGATAAAGTATGTTGTTATGACTCTGAAGTTGTATTGAAATATGAAGACTGAAAAAAAGGAAAAGAAGTAGAAACAATGAGAGATTGAAAACCACATATACGTAATGGTAATATCGATAGGTTTTTGAATTCAGTGTATCACCTCGGTAATATTCGTAAAGGACACGTATCAGCCTAGCGTTTTGCTGTCTGCTGTAAGCTATTTGATTGGTTTCATGCATAAAAAGCTAATCAATCATATAGCTTAGAGCAAACATTCGATACTGTCATGACATATTCCAAGGGTATAGAAAAGAGATTTGTATCGAATTTGGAACCGTTGTATTTCGAAGATGTGTAAAACTGTTTTTGTCACTTATAACGTGTCCCTGCTGTTTTTGCTATCCTTCATGTCGCAGGTTGGGTAGGGCCTGGTTTTCAGTTAATGCATAAGGCACTGAACTCCACCATGACAATAAAGCTGTAAATGGGTTTGGTACCAACAAAACCTAAGTAAGAATGATTTATATAATGGTAAACAGATATCAATCAAACTTGAAAGAATAGCTTCCTTGAAAGATTGAAAAGGTGATCTTCTAATCTTTAAATTAAGTTTTCTCGTGTAATACTACTTTAATTAATTTTCTTCAGATCTGATATAACTCTTTTCCTGTCGGATTAATTACACGACACGGTAAATGGATTCATTACTACGAAGAGAAATGATTACATAGTTGAAACCTCATGGTGTTTAGGTTATAAGGGAAAAGTGTACAAACTGTCAACAAATTATTCAAAATATCCTATATTCCTGACATCCAAATAAGAAAAGGAATTCGTCAATATCACTTGGGAATAAGCTGGAGGGTTGACGATGATGTTAGATATTTTTTTACCTCCTCCCTGCATTGCTGTAGCTCTTTTTCACATCTTCATATTTCCTTCTTTACTGTTTCTGCTGCTAAGTGGTCGATATTCCTGCAATGATACCGCTGATGTTTGAAATTGTCAAACTCCTCTCTGTAGTGCTGCAAAGAGGACTTTGCAAAGAGGACTTTGCAAAGAGGGTTATCTCAGTCTCGGGCTAAGATTCTGTAACATCCCAACCTCGGCTTACGCCTCGGTTGGGATTTTTGTTACAGAATCTTAACCCTCGACCGAGATAACCCGATCTCGCTCAGTTACAGGTAATATATTTTATTATTACAGACGGCCAAAGAGCAAACCACTAGGTCCCTTCGGATGCAGTGGATTGGAGTAGATGGGGATACTTTTAAAGTATCTAATTTTGGAGTATGACATAATGGATTGATATATCACCTTTACATAAATGAATTGTTCGTTTATGGATGCAAAATATTCTTTCTAACAACATTGATTGTTATACTTACAATCAGAGCAGTTAATCTGTGGGCCGTCTCTACTACTTGGACTTGATTTTTCAAGATCTTGTGTGTCTTTGTTGTCCAACAGATGTTCAGTACACATCTGTAAATCGTTTCTGTTTCTTTTATCATGAACTGTAGTATTCAGGATGACATCACTTAGCTGAGGGAATATTTCAGAAATTCTCTGCTTTAAGTAGACCCTGTGTCTGGAAATTAGTTCCTTTTCCTCTTGTTCCTCTTCTTTAAGTTTTACTTCATATGGTTCTTCTTCTTCTTCCTCTTCTACTTCCTCTTCTTCTTCTTTTTCTCCATCTATAACTTCTTTACATTCTTCTTTGGATTCCATACTTCACATCTGTAACAAGATTAGTACGAAAAGAATTAAAACACCCAACTCTATCTTTTGGGTTGACTTTTGACACAACAGGTCCTCGGATCTTTGACAAGAATATACCTGTCATAAGCAAGTTGTAAATTAATAATAGTTTTGAGTGTAATTACTTAGCATCAATGTTATTCTATTGCACTCTTAATTGTTACATTAGATACTACACGTCAGAGACTGCAGTTACATCAATTCAAATCGTTGTTACGTTTAATATAATTGTGTAAAGCTAAATTCATTGACCGAGATTTTATAATAAACATCAAATTTCAGATTGATATATTTTATTACTGAGCTTACCATTCAGAGCTAAATTGAAGATCATAGTGGCGTTACAGTATGTATGATTTTGTCCTTACTTAGACAATATATAAACGCCGCCCTTTGTCAGTTTCTTTGTAATCATAATACACTTAGTGTATCAATAATTTTCTGTCGGTAGATGTCCGGACTATATAGTGTCAGTCTGCGGTCGGTCGGAATTAACATTTGTCGCCGTAGGATAAACACGGCAGACCGTCGAAGAAGTGTCCACCTGTTGTCTTCCAAAGTTTTACGGAATGTGTTGACCAACATATGGCCGCTGCAGCCTTATCCGGAATGCAAACAGACGATTTCACACTGACTTTTAATCAATTTGAACAAGCTATCGTCCTTTTATATTTTATTGTTGTTTCCGTAGTGCTAAGACAGTTGTTGCATAAGCTCGAATGTTGCTTTTATCTATCTTGCCGACGCGTCGTCACATGAGGTCGACCACCTCGAGGATATTGTAAACCTTCCCTCTCTATCCCTATCCTATCCCTCTTCTCCCTCTCTATCACTATCATATCCCTCTTCTCCCTCTCTATCCCTTTCTATCACTATCCTATCCCTCTTCTCCCTCTCTATCACTATCATATCCCTCTTCTCCCTCTCTATCCCTATCGTATCTCTCTTCTCCCTCTCTATCCCTATCCTATCCCTCTTCTCCCTCTCTATCCCTATCCTATCCCTCTTCTCCCTCTCTATCCCTATCGTATCCCTCTTCTCCCTCTCTATCCCTATCCTATCCTATCCCTCTTCTCCCTCTCTATCCCTATCCTATCCCTCTTCCCTCTCTCTATCCCTATCCTATCCCTCTTCTCCCTCTCGAGCACTATCTTGACCAGTGATTATACACAGTCGAACTAGCACATTTGCAATGACACTAATAACAGTAGGCCAACTATCTTGTTAATTCAACCATTTAGAAGGCCAGGAGATATCCGGACCAGACATGCCTGACGGATTTTCACTCCTATATGTGAAGTGATTATACATTTTTGTTTGTTATTGTAAGGTTGTATACATAAACGGCTGACTTTCAACTTAGTTTAATACTATCATAAAGTTATATCATTGTAGACTTGCTCAAGTATATAAGTTGAAATATTGTTTTAATGAAAAATTAAATAGAAAAATCGAAAACTTAAGGGTAACATGCATATTTAAGCAGTTGTTTTCTGCCCTGTCAGTCAACAGTTAGATTTTTCCAAAAGAGTTTGGACCCATCAGATAAAGCGTTTCTCGAGGTTGTAAATACGTTTGACTATTGTTCGATAACAATTGTTATGATACTTGACCAACATGATCAATGAAAAAAAAAAAAAGTAAATAACAATCTGCATTTACTAGCAGTCCGCGTATACATTTCTTATCTTACCCTTAAAATTGTTTCAGTGCTTATAGAGTCGCAGTTTTCAATTAAATGCAACACATTTTCATTGTTCATTTCTTCAAATCCTTCCATCACTAGACCACCTAGCGATTGCGGCGGCAGAACAACACCATGCATTCTACGTCATAACTATCGGGGCCAAGTTGTTCTAAACGTGATTAGATTAATCACTATTTAATGACAATTTTTCAACCTATACAAACTTGGTCAATAAAATTGCGTTATTTTGCATGCAATTTTACTATACTGAAATATTTATCATATCGGAATTTTAATATACAGTGAGCTATAATGGTCCTGTGTTTTTTAAAATACGCAAACAATGTAATTTTCGCTAATCACTGATTAATCTTATCATTTTATGAACACCTGGGCTGTTTGCCAATTAGGTGGGATCGATAACAGCGCATGTGACCAGTCAACAGTCGAAGGGTCTGTCTCTATCACCAGTTTATAACGTGACCAGTCAAACTGTCGTAGAGATGCAGAAATAAGTGTGCTACGTTTTGTAATTTAAGAAGTAAACAGTTTAAACTACTTATTATACAATTGTTTAGAGAGCCAGGTAACAAGAAATGGCTTTCTGTTAAGTAGGGTGATAAAATGATATTCTCATTACGTTAACGCCTACATTCATATTGATACAATTCAAGTGTGAACAACAGTTAATTAATGATTTTTTTTACAGGAACAAAGAACCAAATCACCACATCAATCCCACTTTTTAAATACCGACTGACTAACATAATCCCTAGTCATAAATATATTCTATAAAAAGTGATTTAGATATGTTAAACAAATGTTAAAATAACTGATTTTAATACAAATTCTACTTCTTCTCTTCTTGATTTCTCTCTCAAACAAATAAAAATCCTCACTGCCTCTTGTAGTTTAAGTCTCTCTCGATAGTGTACACAAATTATATATAACTCTGACTAAGTGTCTGTATATGGCATATTTGGCAAACCAAAACGCGGTTATTGCGTGACTCGGTTTATCAAAACAATAAACGAAGCACATACGCATTGTGATCATGCATACCACCTGTCTACAAACGATACCTATATAGTACTTGGATAAAACGTTTACTATTTTAAGTTAAAAATACATCTAGACTGTTCTTAACAATTAAGAAATGTACATGAGGAAGGTAGGAAGGATTCCGAAATAATAAAAGTGGACAGGAAAATATAATTCGACGCCACAATCATATTGTTTTGTAAACGTATCTATTTTAGTACAATTCAACTATCTACCTAGTACAGTATATGTTAAGAAGCAGAAACAAAACAAGGAGAATAAGACCAGGAAGTAAAGAATACCATCAATGATGATCCTTTTTGAGGCATTAAGGTTTCACTGGATACAAAACTCATAAACAGTTACCTGGTTTATCACCTCTTCATGGCTATTCTCAATACTTTTTCATGTTCTGGCTACAAATCGCATACCTCATCCGTAAACGACTAGTGTTATTCAGGGTCGTTGTTATGACTGTTTGGTCTATTGATAGCAACACGTACTAATGATGTAAACATTAATATGAAGTGACCTTCCCGGAATTGAAATGAAAGTATAATAATTTCAAATCCTTGTGTTACAGCATACATTGTACCGACTTAAAAAAATATAGTTCTCGTTTCTTTTTCTCCTTGTGCACACATCATTTTACTAAAAGTCGTCAAATGTCAGTTAAACATCTATAATTGATTTTCGTTTTACAGTAGATATATTTAACCTTTACTTAAATCTGTTCAAGAATGTTATGTATTCTTGTAGGTATTGTATTGCTTCTAATTTCAACAGGCATATCATAACACAAATACACAAGAACAAAATTCTACCGTTAATAGAAGACTTTAAACCACTGTACCTCATAGTGAGAAGAAATTAAACATTTAATGAAAATCAGGAAACCTTCACCGTTGAGGTTTGCTATGTAAAATACCATTCTGTAGGTGAACAATGCTGTACATAGGTAGCCCTTTGTTTTAAATGTTTGTATAACATGTATATGTATGCACGTGTATACGCAACGGGAATATACTTTTACAGTACAATGTTTCTTGAAGTTGAGATATGACATACACTCCATTATTTGGCAAACGCGTATGCTTTGCTCGCCATTAGTAATCGGTTTTAGTAAAGGCATTTTACAGTCAGACTTATAAGGCCTTAAAATTGGAATCTGATTGATGCTTGTTGGTGTTTACATTTCAGATAGTAGAAACATTCAGATCTGTTTAATATGTGGTGAAGATGATTAATTGAAATTTTCGTTTGGAAATAATCCTGTATAATGAAACTATTTGGACCTACACGAGACTAACCTTAAAATAGATATGATATTAGCTGTTACGGCTAATTTAGGGCACCGTACTTCAATCTTTTATATACTATTGCTCATAACTAGATAGAAAAATATCTAACACCAGTATTTGTATATACATCTCCTAACATCTCCCGGGACCTTACCAATTAGGTCTTACAATGACTATTTATCTGTATGAAGGACATTTTGCAAACCAATACGTGGTCAATTTGTCGAAGATAAAAGCGTCCACAATAACTACAATGTATGCACATAAATACCATGCGTGTACAAGTCAATTACCGTCACAGGACTTTTACAGACTTAATTGATAAATTATAAAAAAACATTTTTTACAGACTTCAACATACTTAACCATTAAGAAAGTTGAACAGGAGTCCAAAACATTAAAGCATGAAAATCGATTTGTATGCCACAATTATTATTCAATATTTTTAGTCTCAATTCATATATTTGATACCTCCAATTAAAAAGCATCAAGAGAATATGAAAACGTAAACAAAGTCACAGTTTTAATCAAAATCGATCAAACTATGGCATAATATAGACAAAGGAACGATTTACACGAAAACCATTGAAAATGGTTTAAGATGATTAAAACCATTAAGTGTAGATCACCAAGAGCATACGATATTGTTGTGAATATAATTTATTAGGCCTGTACACATATTAAAATAAATAGTTGTATTAGTGGCGCTAAAATGTTACTGGATACAAAACTCATAGATACTACCGTTTATTCCAAAAGGAATTTCAGGTTCTTGGTCAGAAACACAAAAAATATCTGAAACATTATTCGTTGTTATGGTATTTGGTTTATTATTAGGAACATGTCATATTGACGGTCACATATAAATATAAACTGACTTTCCCGTAATTAAATTGCAAAACTTATTTTAAGTAACAGCATTCCGTCTAAACAAATCTGCTCTCCTTGTGCAGACGACATTTTACTCGGAATCGGCAAATGTCAGTTAAAGACCTATACTTTGATTTTCGTTTTATGGTAGATATTTATAGCCTGAACTTTAACCTGTCCAATAAATGTTATGCATTCTCGCTGGTATTTTATTATTCTCGTTTTCAAAGACCTTTTACACTCCGACTATGAATGCCTTAAAACTAGAAACTGAATGATGTTTGTTGGCAGTTAGACTCAACATGTAGATCTATTCAATATTTCTTGCAAGTGATTTATTGAGTCTTACCTTTGGAAATGATTCAATGAGACTAGTATTAAAATAATAATAAAAAACAAATTCCTAAAGTTCATTACTAGATAATAATCTCTGATTCCAGTTTGTGTATATACACCTTCTAACACCTACCGGGACGTACAAACAAGGTATAACAATGAATACCTATCTATATTTAGGACATTTTGCAAAACAATACATGGTTAATGCGTCGTCGAAACAAGAGGGGCACAATAACTATGCACATACATAAAATGCGTGTACTTTAAATACAACATCCACACATCACAGTGACATGCTTAATTAAAGGGGCTGGTCGGGGAAAAAATTACAAAATAAATGGGTCTAAATGCGTTCTCTTGCCTTCAAAAAGTTATACCACGGGCAATATGATGGTCGAGTTCTGCTTGCAAAGACCAGTTTTGACCACTGAAAAGTTTAGCGCAGATCTATTTATAATATGTCACGTGGTTGTTTCAAAAGTGAGGCAGTGAAGATAACAACAATAGCACGCCGTCATCTGCCATGTCGGACTCAACTAGCGGACAAGACAGCAATACTATACGTAAATAATTGTTTTAAAAGGTCATGTATGATGCAAGTGTAGTATTCCTACCTATATGTTGTTGTTATACATAACGGAATTGATACCTCGTGCCTGTCATGACTTTTGCATGCATCTTTTTCTTTCGCCGCGATGTTTACATTTGGCCTTGTTGATGACGCGCGTGCGGTAAAATTACATCACTGATCTGGGTCAATTGAGAGTTTTAGACTGTCAGGTGACGATTTAGGATTTCTTTAATATAATTATAATTTTTACTATTAAGGAGTGAATTTCAGCAAAATTTGAATCGGTATATTTCATAAGAAGGTATTTTAAACATGTGTATGCCATTTTAGCAAATATGACATTTTCCCCCCGACCAGCCCCTTTAATTAACTACAAAACGTTTGAACAGAACTACACATCCTTAGCTATTAATGTAGATGAATACGATTCTGAAAAACCCCCCATTAAATCAGGAAGTGTATTTTGATACCACAATTATCATGAAATATGTTCAGTCTCAATTCATATATATATATAATAACTACATTGCAAAATCAACAAGGAAATATCAAAAAGAAAACAAAGCTGCAATTCGAACTCAAATCGATTGATTAAAGCATTATATGAACAAGGAAAGATTAACACAAATACCATTGAAAAAGCTCCAGGGGAATAAGATCTCGAGTGTAAAACACCATGACCACCCCGCATTAACATGACTATTTTAGACCTGTATTTATATTGAAAATTAATCATATAAGTGGCGTTACGGTTGCACTGGATAAAAAAGCTAAAACACCCACCTTGTCCATCACGTATTTCTTTCTCAAGCAATTAACGTTTCAGCAGATGTCGTTTTGGTCCTATATTTTTTTTCCTAACTAACATGAAGCCCTGTCAGGGTTTATGAAGTTTGTCATCAATAGCAACGGACCATAACAATATTTGCTAAAATATTCATTATTTATATACATGTATGTACCTGATTCTAGTACCCTGTACTCTGTACCCTATACCCCGTACCCTGTACTCTGTACCCTGTACCCCGTACCCTGTACCATGTACCTTGTACCTTGTACCCTGTACCCCGTAAACTGTATTTTCACAGCACAATACATTCGATACGATATGTATCTTGATACACATATCTGACTTTAAAGTTGGTTTCACAATACATGTAGCTTTACGATGTAAATAGTAAATACAGTTCAAATATATCGTTTTTTGAGCTGTTGTACGTTTTTGTATCACTGCACAGTGAATAACATCGTTTCTGGTGTTTAAAAAAGGATAAGTGAACTCACAAATCGAATTTATTTAAACTTTCATTGATAATACCCGAAATGAAAGTGTATTTCCTTAGGCAAGCAAACAATTGTTTTCCTACAATACACAACAAAGTATTCCGAAGCTGAACGATTTAATGAATTGTTTCAGTATACGCTGTACCCTGTACCCCGTACCCTGTACCCCGTACCATGTACAATGTATCATGTACCCCGTAAACTGTACCCTGTACCATGTACCCCGTACCCTATACCCTGTACTATGTACCCCGTACCCTATACCCTGTACCCTGTACCCCGTAAACTGTATTTTCACAGCACAATACACTCGATACGATATGTATCTTGATACACATATCTGATTTTAAAGTTGGTTTCACAATACATGTAAATAGTAAATACAGTTCAAATACATCTTCTTTATTTAATGCTGCCTATTTTTAATGTAATTTTATAACCATTTCATAATAGAATCAGTAATACCACAATATTTTAATGTTTGAAGAAGACCCAAATGCCATACTCTATCAAATGCCTTTGATATATTGCAAAAATCATACATGTATATTTCTTTTCTCTTAGGTTAAGGTGGCTCCACACTTTCGCAATTAACCAGCAAAATTCGTTGAAACTTTCATATAATGGTTATGCAACTATGTAGAGTTAATTTTATGAAAATCTAAACATTCCGATAGTTTGGGGAATTTTTTGGAAAAAATACCAAAAAATTGAATTTTCGCCACTTTTAATATTTTCCGTTTTTTTTTGTGTGTGGCATTGTTCGGAACAATAAAAACAATAAAAAAATGAAAAGAAGCATTTATAATTAATCCTACAAATATTTTATTTATCGCAAAATATGTAACACATGTTACACAAAGTGTTTTTTATTGAATTTGAACGGATAAAAGTGATTATCTACAAGCTAAAAGCAAACAGGACACACAGATCTATACATATAGAGTGGGAAATTGAACAAAATATACACAATGGCTTTATAATTAATTTATTTTACATTTTACAATCACTTTGATCCGGGTGAGAGTTATCTTCCTTGAAAAAAATCGGAACTTTTTGCAGAGGGATGACATTTACACAATGACAGTTGTCTCTGTTTACATATAACAAATGATGGAAATAAATCAAAAATATGATATCAAAATTATCAATTTATTGTTCTTTAATGGAACCAAATTACCCTCAGTCATGTACACTTTGGACATCATTCCACAGTCCGCTAACTCACGGTATATTTATAATTACATGTCAGGTACATATGTGACCAGAGGCTATCGCATGGTATGCCGTTCTCACGTGCCCTCACACATGCATTTCATAGGTATCTTGATATTTTACAAAACATTATTTTCACAGAGTAAGTAGACTACATTTGTAAACACGATTTAATCGACAGAGCGAAACTCCCTCAGCTTATGAACTCGTGTAAGCACGTGATATGCACATATGAGGTTGGTACGTCCGCATTCCATGTGTTTCCTATATGACCTTCTTGAGGTCGTCTGGTCTCATGTCACTGTCTTCCCGTGAGTCTGTTTATGTCAATGAATTGGAAAGCTTTATTCCTGAAGTACGTGTGATTATACATTTCCCGGTAAAATCTCGATATCGGGTGTTGACATATCATCGGCACGCACGTGTACTATTGTTTACCAGGGGCCTGTTCGTTTATGCGGAACAACCGGTTTGACCGTTTATAAATGTAACAATTCCGGGTATAAATCCTGGCGGACCTACAAATGTGTATGCAAGACTTGCAAGGCTTTCTCAATGCTCGCCTGAAAGCAGCATCAGATAACTAGGTCCTACCTTATTTAATAAACGAACAACAGTGGTCCGATCGGTTTGACCGTTTAAACGCAAACGGCCCAGGTGTTACTATAATTTGCACTACGATATTGAATACCCGATACGCAAAACGGAAATGACGACACGGTGTACATGCACATTTCGATCAAGATAATTGAGTCCGAGCTGTACTTTTTCCGGAAGTACGTCACGAAAATGGACGCTGATGACGATGTGTCGAGCCACCTTAAGACAAATATTATGATAAATTTCAATCAATTGATGGAAAGTTGAGTGTTTTTGGCACGTTCAAAAACCTTGCCTCCTGAAGAATGTAAAGAGATCTGTAATTTGAAGGTAGATTGTGTTATCTTTCTTAAATAGTGGCATAACGATAGCCTTTTCCATAGATTTAGATACTTGTTTGTTTGTTTGTTTGTTTGTTTGATTTTGTTTAACGTCCTATTAACAGCTAAGGTCATTTAAGGACGGCCTCCCCTGGGTGTAAGATGCATGCGTGTAGTGTATGTGTGTGTATTTTGGGAGGCTGCGATATGTTCGTGTTTGTCTCCTTGTGATAGCGCGAAACTGATGCCGACTCTATAGTGCTACCTCACTGAAACATTCTGCCGAAGACACCCAGCAGGACGCCCCACCCGGTCACATTATACTGACAACGGGCGAACCAGTCGTCCCACTCCTAATTTGCTAAGCGTTAAGCAGGAGTATAAACTACCATTTTTAAAGATTTAGATACAGGCATTGAGATAGGGACATATTAAACAATAATAATAGAGGCTTATAAACTGTTTTTACTGTATTTTTGAGCATATTGTACCTTATACTACCTATACCCGTGGCATTTCCTAATTTTAAAGTATTAAGAACATCAACTATTTCCTCACAATTTTAATGTATAGACTTCAAAGATTCATTAGTCTAGTTCTGCTGTGACCCTTAGATAGACAAGACTATTAAATGCATTAGGAACAATCACCGTACCTTAAATCAACTCGTCAAAGAAAAAAATAAACATTTCAAATTTTGGCGGAGTGGACTGAAATGTTAACGATTGAATTAGAAAAGGACAGACAACTGTGCGACATACTTTATACGGGGAGGTAACTATGTGCAACAACTAATATTTTGACATTATAAAGGTGTTTTGCAATATACTGAAGCAGATTTATGAAGAAAATGGAAAAGATATTCATAAAAGGGACATTAAGATATGTTAGCAGTAAGCTAGCCTTATAGCCATTGAAGGCCATTAAATGAAGATTTTACTGCTTAACCCCATTCTAGTATACTTAATATATTGCCCGAGTATACCCGAATGGCATTTATCAAAAATCATATATCTTTCTTTGATCTTGTTTTTTTTTCTTGATGTCTTTCTAGTGTAAAGACACTCACAATGTGGTTATAAAAAAGCGAATCCAGCAATTTCTCTCTCAACAGTTGCATTCCGCCTGGCTATTGTATTAGGTCCCATATCCGATTCCTCATATGCGTAAGTTAAAAGTGGTATAATTAACTTCCAACAAAGAATTTAGATTAATCGAATACGCTAGGCCAACTCGTCTTAAAGACAAAAATCAAGTTGGTACTTTTAAACGAGATGTTACGGTTGGATTAGAGAGGGAAGATAACTGCACGTCACATTTATACAGGGAGATAACTCTGCGCAACAATAGTATGACGTAACGTCAATTGTTCAATATCCCCCTTCACAACAGGCGTCTAACTAACGACACATTTTTTTTCACCGGATAAAACGATAGACCAGTATTTTTTACACACCATGGACAACAACAATAACAACCAGGTGATTTAATATCTAAGAGGATACTAATTTGTCTAGGTCAGACTTGATAGACTTTTAAAAACTTTTTTTTAATAAATAGCCTTTTGACTTATAGCATATTGTTTTTCTTATTCTGAATTTGCGGAATATTTGTTACAGATTCTTGACGTAGATGGTTGGCCGAATGACGTATATGGATTTTTGAGGGGGACACGGTCAAATGGAGTGAACATGTGGGTCACTTTCTTATTGGAGGACAAGGTGAGCTTTAAATATTTTACACACACATATGAATTCCTAAATGCACTGTATTTCGGGCAAATAGGAACAATGTGAACAACCGCTATGAGGTAAACGAAAGTTTCAAATTCAACTTGACAACGTATAATGATTTCAATAAAAAGTCTTATAATTATTTTGTACAATCATCACGGAAAAACCAATTAAAGCTTTTTGTGTAATCGGTATATTTTCTTTTTATTCTGAAAATGAAATTCGCTTTCAAATTAAGTTTTATTTCATGTTGTGTGTTTTTGCTTGATTAAAGGTTGAACTCAATGACACAAATGACAAGAAACGATGTGGATTACCTGATATCGGGAAGGAGGAACGGAATGTAAAGGATGAAAAGCGGGTGAATGAGGAAGAGGACGGGGTGAATGAGGAGGAGGAGTATTACAACCCGTACATTCGGCTGTATGCCGATTGTGAAGATTGGGGATATGGTGACGGAATGCCTGCGGCCTGGCGACAATAAACCGAGGTAAATTAAGTTTTATTTAGTTTTTATTTCCAAAAGCTCATCAAACATGCATGAACGAATATTTAGTGTTTATTAGCTGATCTCAATTCTTCTTAATCTTGGGTTTTCACAATGTTTATTTATGTACCCTGTTGTCTCCATTTATCTATGAATTCACGTATACATGTATATAAACGTGTAACGGATGATTTCGTTTCTAAAATGTCATGTGTTTTCTTTACATGTCAGGTCACAAAAACCTCTTGAGAAGTCGATCGCGCTGGCGACCTATGAGATGCATATTCTTTCATATTATATAAACGAATTACCATAACAGACACTATTCGTATAATGTAGGGCAATTCGGTGGCAAGCATAAGTGAACATTCTTTTTGTTTGTACAAAGCATTATCAGATCCAAATTGCATGATATAACTATAGTTTGATATATTTTCTTACCTTTTGGTATAGCCTACATTTCAATTATGGTCTTTGTGGTGATGTATCTGCGAATACATTTAGAGGTGACGATTATTTACTGTTAAAAGGCTTCTTTGTACACATACTATGATTGTTTTATCAATAAAATATGTTACATTTGAACTTGAAACTCGTGTTTGTTCTTTATCTACCTTCGTTTGTATTAAGATATCGTTTTCTTCTTAGCTGGTTTGTCGCAACTTCTCGGCCAGTTCCGTAAAAGCATGGAACAATCGGAAAACCTCTCGGGTATTTCCGATATAATTTCACTGTGCATGCCGGAAAGGCACGAGTTGTTTTACCTTTGAGGCCAGTATAAAATCATAAAAACTCGTTTGATTCCTTGTTTTAACGGGACGGGCCGTACCTTAACGGAATGGGCCGAAATGTTAAACTTATCTCTTTCCTCATTCCAAGAAAACTGAAATTCAGCGAGTTATTCGGGAAAATGTCTCCTTAAACATTATGCATAAAATAAACCGGAAATGAGTTGACGGATTTAGATATGTCGGTATGCCAAATTTAATACTAATTTTTGCTAAATTTGAAATATTTGAAATTTCTTAAAACGCAGATCAAGTTAGAGAGTCTCTGTTTTTCTTTACCATCTTCATTAACTGAATGAATCAACATATGAGATACAGCATGATGATGCGGGGGCTGTCGGACCCGGAACCCGCCTCAGAATGAAATTTATTGATCTGATGTATTCATAACGTTAAAAATACACGCTCCTTCGTGTATATAGTGATGATGCTCTTTCTGCCAAAGAAACGTTACGGACTGTGACGAAATCGTACGAGATTTATTGACAACAACATACTGCAAATTGTTTTGACTTCGCGCGGCGTTATTTTCGGGATATCATAGGGAATTTTAAATTCGTCTAGTGCTATATTCCCGGTTTTGACATGGTTAGTATGTATCGTTAATTGTCAAGAAATATTAACTTTCATATTGACTGATGTGGAATAAGAATTGTACGATATGCATATAGTGCTAACTTTTATTTTAAAATTGTTCGCTTATTTTATATATTCTTTGTTAAATATTCACAGATGATTTTGTTTTATAACATTTAAAAGCTGGCATGTATACATTGATCTGAATATGGTTTGTTAATAAACAGTGATGTGTATTAACTTAAACACGTGTTTGTTATATTTCCCTTGTAACTGAAAATGTATTTATTTTGCTGCTGGCTGGATTTGTCGCAACATTTTGGCAAACTCCGTCAAAGTTCGGAATAACAGGATCAACTTCCGGGAATTCCTGGCATAAGACACACTGTGCCTGCTTGAAAATCACGAGTATTTTCTGATTGAGTAAGAAATAAAATCATCAAACCTCGTTTGTTTCCGTATGTTTTGACGGAATTGACCGTTTAATCATTTTAATCACTGATTTACGGAAACGACATAAACTCCGCATTGATGATAAATAAAATGTTGATATTAAGCTAATGTTTTTCACCGTCGCCCCGTGACAGCTCTAAAATGGAATCTGATAAGGCGATTGAAGATGAAGTATGTTGTTATGAGTCTGAAGTTGAATTGTAATGTGAAGACTGAAAAAAGGAAAAGAAATAGAAACATTGAGAGATTGAAAACGACGTAATAGTAAAATCAAATAGCTTACAGCAAACATTCGATACTGTCATGACATATTCCAAGGGTGTAGAGAAGAGATTTGTATCGAATGTTGAACCGTTGTATTTCGAAGATGTGTAAAACTGTTTTTGTCACTTATAACGTGCCCCTGCTGTTTTTGCTATCCTTCATGTCGCAGGTTGGGTAGGGCCTGGTTTTCAGTTAATGCATAAGGCACTGAACTCCACCATGACGATAAGCTGTAAATGGGTTTGGTACCAACAAAACCTAAGTAAGAATGATTTATATGATGGTAAACAGATATCAAATCAACTTGAATGGACATCTTCCCTGAATGATTGAAAAGGTGATCTTCCGATCTTCAAATTTGGTTTTCTCGTGTAATACTACTTCATTTAATTTTCGTAAGATCTGATATAACTCTTTTCCTGTCGGATTAATTCAACGACACTGTAAATAGATTCATTACCACGGGGAGAAATGATCCTGTAGTTGAAACCTCATGGTGTTTAGGTTATAAGAGAAAAGAAGACACGCCAAATTGTTACACGGTAGTTTATTCACATTCACAAGTATGTAAATTCTGACAGTGTAAATAATAATCATTGAAGTCACAATGATAACTCATAAAGTCACAAAGTCAAATATTTAAGACCAGCGTAAAAAATAAAGTTATAGATACAGCAAATAAGAACATGGATTATAGGAGGAGGGATGGAACTTAGCAGAAGCAACAGTTTACAAACTGTCAACAAATTATTCAAAATGTCCTTTATTCCCGAAATCCAATTGAGAGAAGGACTTCGTCAATATCCCTTGGAAATAAGCTGGCTGGTTGACGCTGATGTTCGATATTTTCAACCCTGTATTGCTGTAGCTCTTTTTCACATCTTCTTGTTTCCTTCTTTACTGTTTCTGCTGCTAAGTGGTCGATATTCCTGCAATGGTGCCGCTGATGTTTGAAATTGTCAAACTCCTCTCTGCAGTGCTGCAACTCCTTTTTCAATTCATCTACTTCTTTATGTTTTTCCTCGTCTTTCTGACGCCGTATTTCCGCTTCCCTTTCCTGACATTTCCTTTCAGCTGCCTTAAGAATCTCATTGCTGTAGTAGCTTCCCTGATGGCTCTCTACAAGTTCAATGATCATTTCCATCATATTCCTGGCATCGATGTTGCGGGATTCACTTTTAGGACTATTATTGATTACAACACAACGTTCCTTGCATTTTCCTATGATTTCCTCCAACGAAGGTGGTATCGTCTTCAAATACTCCTCAAAGGACGCGTCTTGTGCTTCCAGCAAATCTCCTCCGGTGAAGACCAAGATCGTATGCTTGAACACGTCTTCTCCAAAAACATCAGCAAACTGTTTGACAGTGTTATATTCGTCTTGAGTAAACCTCCCTGCTTGAAGAACAAGAAGAAATACGTGAGGTCCAGGTAAGGACAAACTGATGCACTTGGATATTTCTCGAAGGCTTTGACTGATGGGTACATCTGTATCGAACACTACCGGAGTATCTATTAACAGGATCTTCTGTCCAAACCGGAAAGTTCTAGCTTCCTGACATTTCTCCGTCACGGATGAAGCTCCATAGCAAGATTTGAAAACGTCCTTACCTAGAATGGTATTACCTGTGGAGCTTTTCCCAGATCCGCTTCTTCCGATCAATACAATCCGTTTAGTCTGTCTGTCACTTTCACTGCAGGACACTTATGAAAAAGAAAAGACATATTCAATTTGTAATATATCATTGTAGTTCAAAAGGAAAGCATATCAATATAATAGTTAAAGGAAAGCATATCAATATAATATGTAAAATCCAAAATCATTTTATAACAACGTTTATGTTATATTTATTTATGCTATGTATTTTGACATCAGATGTCAACGAAAACAGCACGGAAATCAAAGTAATATTACGAAAATAGAAACATTACACTGGCTGGCTTTGGTTTCTCGAAACGAAATGACTTGATTTATTATCTTGAATCAGCTTAAGACGTGTATGTTTCATGTTATACTTACTATCATGGACGACCTCTTGATCTCTCTCACAGTTTGGTTCATCCATAGAACAAGCTTTATTCCGCATACATTCGATGTGCAGATCTTTTGATAAGAAACGTTTTTATCATTAATTTGTTAACTGAAAAATATTTTCATTTCTGTACACTTATATAACATACACACCATGCGAATTTTATCTGGACAATGCATATGCCAGTGTTAAATTCAAAGTACGATAGTGATAATATGTATATCTAAACGTAATGGAATCTGATGTTATTTAAGTATGGAAAACATCTGGTGCTTTTAAAACTTTCTATAAATATACAATATTTTGGGTCTGTATATATTGACCACATTTCTGGGTTTAAAGGTCTACTGGATACAAAACTCTTAAACACTCACCTTGTTCATCGCATATTTCCGTTTATCGTTTTTGACTTTAGTTCTGGTCTATTAATTTTCCTCTCGTCAGGAGCACATACGATTACGTAAATATATGAATATAAATAGATTTCCCTGGAATTAAACAAATATTTCCAAGTAACAGCATAACGTCTTAACAAATGTGTGTCCTGTTTCTTTTTTTCTTTTGTTTGCAGACGACATTTTACTCACAATCGTCAAATGTCAGATGAATACATCTCATTACATTTTTATTTTGCATTAGATATTTTTTTAACTGTATTGAAATCTTTTTAAGTAAAGTAATCCATTATTGTAGGTATTTTATTGTTCCTCATTGCAACAGGTACATCTCAACACACAAACACACATAAAAAGAATCTTCAGTTTTCACAAGACCACATATCGCTGTGTTTCCAGATGAGAAGTAATTAAACATTTCATGAAAATCAGAAAACATACACCGTCGGAATTTGTTATACAAAATACCGTATGTGTGGGTGAACAATATCGTACGGAGGTAATATGTATACACGTGTGTACGCACCGGGTATTTCCTTTACAGCGCAATGTTTCTTGCACTTTGAGATCTGTATCAAAGTGCGGAGGAATGAGATCCGGAACATGTGCCGACATACAGGTAGGGGACTATTTGACCTTGAAAAACGGTAAAACAATTAAATCAAACAGTACTTTAAATTCCAAAGGAAACATACCGATTTACTCTATTACATGCCCTTCTTTCAATGAGCACTAAATCGGTCAAAATCGGTCACACTCATTATGTATCTCATAAGCCATATTATATTTACTAAAAATTCGTAATATCACTGTCTAACATTTAAGCACAGTTTTGGCTATCTAGAAACCATTTTCCGGTTTCTCTTTAAATAAATCATGTTGACATTTCAGGGTGAACTCAATAGCTTTAAGTTCCATTTACGCTGAACTTCTGCCACTTTCTGCCTGCGTTAATATTTTATGAAAAGCACTTCGCTGATTTTCGTTAATAACTGCCCCAACATTCTGTGCTGCTTCTGAATAGACAGTTGTATGAGGAACTAAGTAATATGCTAATTTACTACTTTACCTCTAATTTGTTTTTTTATAAACGATTAACTCTTCAACTCACCTGCTATCGGTCTCTGTCTGTGCAAGGTCATCCGAACTGTGCCCGTTAAATGTAAAGTTATGCAAGAAATGAACCATGTCATAAGCCTACAAACTGATACTACTACCGAGGGAAGGCATACACCTCTTCCAGTCATGAACTATTTCTCTAACTGTAACCTTGCGCAGCTTCCTGAATACTTTTTGAACACACTTACACCAAAAACATCTATCTTTGACAATGTTTATATATAACACAAAACCCATTTTTCCGCACAAGCTGACAGGTTTGCTAGAATCTCAACCGTAGTAGTGAACCCACTATGTCTATGAAATGTGATCACAAGTATTTCACTAAAGGCCTCAAGCTTTCAATTAATGCATAAGACGCTGAACTCCACCTTGACAATAAATTTGTAAACGGGATTGATCTCGACAAAACCTAAGTAAGAATTATCTACATGATGGTAACCAGATTTCAATCAAACTTGAAAGGGTAGCTCTTTCCTTGAATAATTGTAAAGTGATCTTTTAATCTTCCAAGTTTGATTTCTCGTGTAATACAACTTCATTTATTTTTCTTAAGATCTGATATAACTCTTTTCTTGTCGGATTAATTAACCGACAATGTTAATGTGCTCACTACTACGGGGAGAAATAATTACATACTAGTAGTTAAAACCTCGTGGTGTTTAGGTTATAAGGGAAAAGCTCCCTCACGCTGTGCTGCTTCTGAATAGACAGTTGCATGAGGGACTTCGTAATATGCTCATTTCCTACAATTTAATCCTTGTACTTTGATTATCAAACGTTTAACTATACAACTCACCTGTTATCGCTCGATATCTGCACGAAACAGTCCGAACTGTACCTGTTTAAAGTAAACCTGTGAAAAATCCTTGACCTTTCCTTTAACTACAAACCGATCGTACTACCGAAGGGAGGCAGATCCCTCTTCCAATCATGAGCTATTTCTCTAACTGTAACGTCGGACAGCTACCCAAATACTGCATGCATATATTTAGATAAATCTTCTACCTGTACCTCCTGTCCCGAACACTAATTGTAAAAGCTACTAACGATCAACATACTAAGAATTATTCAAGATTTTGTACTAAATTCCATACTGTTTTTGATCACTTAAGGTAATAGGATTCTGTCACCATTTCTCAGTAGAATTTCTTCAAATTTTGTAATTATATTGCTTGAAAGTAAAGAAAATTTTCTGCCACAAAAAAAATATAGGTTGTCAGAATTTTAAGGACTTTAAATTGAAATTTATGTAAAAAGGAGTGCATTTTTAAAAAAAAATGAAAAACACAATTTTTTTACAAAATAATGCCAATAAAAATGATACTGACAATTGCGTAAAATTAATTCTCTAAACACGATATAAAAATTGACATTTTATAATAAAACCATATACACAGTAATTGCAGGTAAGAGTTAACGTTCTTAAAAAACTTCAGAGTATTGAAATAGGTAGCCGGTTTCCTGAAGTACAGAAAAATGGACACATATGACTCATTGATAAAAAAAAACCCTGAATTAATGCCTGGATGGCTTTGAAGTACTTTAATATTGAGAAAAAAAATACTGTTCTGTCAATAATAAACATACAATATTCGTCAGTTGAATATTAAACATTAGAATTTCCGGAAATTGTGACACTGTCTCCCTACATTGGATTTTCAACTAGGGATGTACTTCCTGTTTCCGTTTATCAATACACTCCAATGACCTTAACCAAGAAAGTCATCTGCTTTTCACTACGTATATGTGTAACACAAAATTCGTTGTTTTTGCACAAGCTGAAAGTTTTGCACTACATGCACGGGCTGAAATGTTTGCTTGAATCTCATCCGTCGTCTAAATATACCAATATATCTATGAAATGTAATATAAATATTTCACAAAAAGCCTGAAACCTTTAGTTCAAATATAAGGCGCCGAAAAGAGTTTGATTCCGCCAAAAAGAAAGGTAACAGATTTCAATCAAACTTGAACGTATAACTCCCTTTCTTGAGTAACTGTAAAGTAATTTTCAAATCTTCAGTTTTCTCGGGTAATACTTTTTTTAAATTATTTTCCTGAAATCTAATATAACACTTTTCCTGTCGGATTAATTAACCGACGCAGTTAATGGGTTCACTACCACGAGGAGTAATGATTCCATAGTTGAAACCTCATGTTGTTTAGGTTATAAGGTAAAAGAAGATACGCCAAATTGCTACACGAAAGTTTATTCACATTCACAAGTATGCAAATTCTGGCAGTGTAAATGAAAATCATTGAAGTCACAATGAAAAATCTTAAAATCACAATGAAAAATCTTAAAATCACAATGAAAAATCTTAAAATCACAATAAAAAGTTTTAAAGACCAACGTAAAAAATGTAGTTATAGATACAACCTATGAAAGTATATGGTATATAGGAGGAAGGGTTGAGGGTTAGGGGTTTGGGTCGTTGGGGGCTTTGCAGTATCTAACAAGTATATCTTACAAGTTAAGGACATTACGGAAATATTAGCATTGGTGATACAATGTACATTACATGGCTGTATAGCTTCCCTCGCAAGAGTGACGTTATTGTAGACAACTGTTTATTTTGCAATATGCATGACACGAGGGGAAATCACGGATTAAATACAAAATCCCGAATAACGAAAACAACAAAGAAAAATAGGAATTCATCAATATCACTTGTAAAGAAGCTGGCGGGCTGATGCTGGTGTTTGAAATTGTCAAGCTCTTCTCTGCAGTGCTGCAACTCTTTTTTCAATTTATCTATTTCCTTCTGTTTTTCCTCGTCTTTCTGACGCCGTATTTCGCTTTCCTGAAGTTTCCTTTCTACTGCCTTAAACATGTCATTGGTGTGGTGTTTGGAATTTTCAAGCTCTTCTCTACAGTGCTGCAACTCTTTTTTCAATTCATCTATATCCTTCTGTTTTTCCTCGTCTTTCTGACGCCGTATTTTGCTTTCCTGAAGTTTCATATCTACTGCCTTAAACATCTCATTGGTGTAGCAGAAGTCTTGATGGCTTTCTACAAGTTTATTGATCATTTCCATCATATTCCTAGCATCGTTGTCACTGGAATCGTTTTTCAGACAATTATTGATTACAATACAACGTTTCTTGCATTTCCCTAGTATTTCCTCTAGTGAAGGTGGTATCGTCTTTAAATACTCCTCAAAGGACGTGTCTTGTTCTTCCAGCAAGTCTCTTCCGGTGAAGACCAAGATCGTATGTTTGAACATATCTTCTCCAAAAACTTCAGCAAAATGTTTGACAGTGGCGTTTTCCGCTTGAGTAAACCTCCCTGCATAAATGGTCAGAAGGAATACGTGAGGTCCAGGCAAGGACAGACTGATGCACTTGGATATTTCTTCCAGGCTTTGCTTGTTTGGTACCTTTGTATCAAACACTCCCGGAGTATCGATTACCAGGATCTGCTGTCCAAACCGGAAAGTTCTAGCTTCCTGACATTTCTCCGTCACGGATGAAGCTCCATAGCAAGATTTGAAATCGTCCTTTCCTAGAATGGTATTACCTGTGGAGCTTTTCCCAGATCCGCTTCTTCCAATCAATACAATCCGCTTAGTCTGTCTGTCACCTTCACTGTAGGACACTTATGAAAAAAAGACATATTCAGTTTAAATATTTAAAGGTATAGTCACGCCGAAAAAGTTTAAAACGTTTAGTTTCATTTTTTGGCAGTGGTACGTTGATTCTGTTATTCATTTAATTCATGTTAACAACAAAACGTTAAGATGTATGTAACCCTGGTTTTATGCTTTGTACCCAAATACCATAGTTTCTATTGATTATCTAATGAGCAAGTCAGAGTAGTATAATACATTGGGCCTCAGCCATTAATTAGCATTACTACGAGTATAGAAAAAAGATTCATTTACATGATGGACCATGATTACTTCTATGTCCTCTTTCAAATAAGATAATTACAAAATTGACCCAAAAAACCAATTTTGTTATTGAAAACTGAAATAATATGCCACGGAAATTAGCTTCATGATTGAGATCAAGGGTCAACATCTACGTCATAATGACCTATGTTTGGTACACGACACTACTCCATTATAAGGTGTATATGTATGCAAATAATGGTCGCAGTGAATAAACAGGTGTAAGAGTTTTTCTTCAGACTTAGTTATAAAAATGGAAAGAAGGAGGATTGGAGACATAATACAGAATACGGGAGGACGAAGAGGAAACCACTAGTTTTGTATCTTGACAGTAAAATTGATATAGCATATTTATGAATTTGTTCATTAAAGGAATGATAAATCTTCCTCACAACATCATTGGAGATACTTACTCTCAGAACAGCCGAGCTTTAGACCATCTCTCTTTCCTGGACGTGCTCCATCAGGATCTTGCATGCCTTCGCTGTTGAGCGGTTTTTACTCCAAATAGTTCATATGTTTTAAATGCTATATTTCATATCTGAAACAAAAGTTATAGTCAATCAATTAAAACTGACAACTCTAGATTATTCGGGAGCACGCTTTTTGACATAGTAGACTATTTAGTCCCTTTATGCTGCAATATCTTTGACAGAAAATTAATGCTTGTCACGTATTATTTGTAAACATGAAACAATTTTTTTTCCGTAAATGTCGTTTCACTGCGTACGTAAATGTAATATAAGACAGCAGTGTAGTTTAGGGGTTATAATCACACCACTCAGTATATTATATTCTATGACACTATAGCATCAAGTTCTGTTACACCTTCTGCAATTTTTTTTGTAAAGAAACCAAACTTAGGGAGATTTCTTCCATTTGTTTTAAAGTATTGATGAACTCAAAAAAAAAGACTAAAAAAAAAAGGTATCTTTCAAAATTATGTTACCCATAAGAGCTCATTTTAGGACTTTCAATTTATTATGAATTCACATGTACTATGGCTTATATATTTACAACTTGACATTTTGTATTGTTTGTGTCCCATTTTTAATTAGTATTATTGATCAATAGTCTAATTATATACGCATTTTGTCCTAAAATATCTCCCGTATCATTATGACGTCACAAAGTGATATAATTGTTGATTACGTAACTATTGCAAGTATTAAAGCATAAATTCTGCTGACGTAACAATTGAAGCTAGCGAAAGCATCTGGAGGTTTTTTTCTGGTTTATTTTGTAAATACATACATATATTGATAGTTGACCACATTTGTGGTGTTTAAAGTTAACTGGATACCAAACACTGAAACACTCACCTGGTTCATCGCAGCGTTCCGTTTATTCCAAATGGTATTTCAGGTTTTGGCTCATAGGAGCATATATACAATCTCTACACTATTATTTAGGGTTAATGCTTTCGACTTAGTTCTGGTCTATTGTCCTTTCGTAGGAAGCACATAAATAGATTTCCCTGGAATCGAAAAAATATTTCCAAGTAACACCATAACGTCTTAACAGCACTGTATCCTGTTTCTTATCTTCTTTGCATGAACAACTTTACTGTACTGTAATCTGATTAAGTAAGGTAATATATTCTTGAAGGTATTATATTTTTCTTAATTGCAAAAGCTACATCTCAACCCACAAACACACATAACAAGAATATTCCGTTTTCACAAGACTGCATATCACGGTTTTTCACGGTGAAAAGGAATTCAACATTTGATAAAAATGAGGAATCTTACACCATCGAGGTTTGTAATGTAAAATACCATACTGTAGGTAAATAACCTACACAAGGGAAGTCCGGTGCTATTTATATGTTTGTATTACAGGTATATGTATACACGTGTCCTAGTACCGGGTATGTTTCGTGGAGTTCCTGTTGAGAGATGACGTAAACATCTTTTTATCTATTTCACATGTGAGGCAGCTTACCTTTAGTCAACACCAGTGACAGGAAGACAATGAAGACCTTAAAACTAAAATCTGAAAGATGTGTTGATAGTGAGATACATGTCGTGAAGATGATTCATGTAATACTTTATTTCGAAATAAATATTTTGAATGCTTTAAATGCATGAGAGTTAAATTACGGTTTAAGGATATGGCTCGATGCCATTAGCCTTTAATTAAGATTTAGTAGCGCTGTACGTGGTGTTCGATGTAAGTTCAGTAGTTAGTCCTAAAGGTTGTACTAAGGCTATGTGTGCTATCAAAACAAACAAATCTATCTGTCTCGGGATAATTATTCTCATGGAAAATCGAACGAAGTCATTTGAAATGAGACATTCTACAATAAAAGCATGTATTCAATTGTATTTTATATCAGCATACAGAGGACAGATTCAGTATTCTACATGCAGTGTCTCTTTGTTGCGTGTTTTTTATTTTTTTATTTTTTTTTATTCGTTAAATATTATCTTTTGTTCGGTTGATTCACCCTCGCACCAGCTTACAGTTACATGTTGCTACGCGCCTGACGAAAATTTGAGACTTGTTTACATGTACAGTGGTGCATAAATGTATAGGTACACAAGTGTGTTAGTGTTGTGTGTCTTACGTCATCATCTAACTCCATATGATCCGTTTCATAAAAGTCCTGGGTCTATGTTTATGATCCTAATTCACGAGTTCAACCAAGATTAAAGCATGTATCATATACTACTCAACACCTATGTATAGAATTCTTGTCCTTAATTGGTGAACCATACTCAAATTACTTTTAAAATCACCTTTATTACACATTATCACGTGCATTTACACGATTCCTGTCCAAGATTCCTACGGTTACCCGAATCCCATCGACCTCACCCCTGTCACTTTGACCTTTCACCCGGACATTAGTGCACATGTACTGCAGCGTTTATCAACAACAGTGTAACGTGACTAATAAATATTTATTTTTCATTATCTTTTGCTACCTGTAATTACATCAATACCTTTATAATTTACTTGGCCCTTACCTTTGACGGTCATCATGCACTTTTTTCGAAAAATTAAAATGAGAATATATTTATTTGTTAATTCCTAGGATCCGACTGCCAGTTAATCTTCTTTTAGATTCCTTGCCTTGTCTTGTCGTCATCGTCCATATTTTTATACCCACGACTTTGCCGCAGCTGTCACCGTGTCTTCTCTAATGCTATGTAGATACTATTAAGTTGTGTCCAGACACCAGTCTACCAATCCTTTTAAACACTACTTCCTAGGTCTTTATGTATGAAAGTGCATTAAAATCAACAAACCCCAGAAAGATGGTATAGTCACCGAAAATTTCATTGGTGGCCGGTATGCCTCTCGACAACTAGTAAAAGAGAAAGTGAGCTCTGAATCATTTCGGTATATATATGAACTGTAGATAATATGTCATTTTGTAACATCTATTTCATATGTAAAACAGATTGACATGTTATAATCCAATCAATTATTTTTATGAAGTCAAATTCAGTATATTCAAATTACATATTTGGAATCCGATTTTTTTGGTTTTTTTTTTAATATGACTGTAGGGGTTTGGAGTTTTGGGTGACTATAGCATCGTTAAGGGGGCTTATTAAACCTTAATATGAATTCCTCTGGTGAATCACAAATATTAACCTTAAGAAGATATCTCTTCAAAATTTACACTGGACAGGTAAGTTAATGCGTTATGAAGTCCTTCCATATACAAATATGTTTTTCTCTCCATATGCGTATTTTTATGTACTGTAGATATAAAGCAATCTGCATACGATCTCCGTATATCCTACATACAAAACGCAAAGCTGGTAAATTTCCATCCAAATTTATCAGCTCACGACACTTATCTCCGACGGCACGGACTCTAACTTAACTGTATGTATACCTATACTCATATGTGCTATTTCATGTACACTTGTAATTGATGTGTATATGCAATAAAAGGAATAACTGAATGTGAATTTGAAGACAATTTCAAAACTAATTGAAACCCGAGCTGTATTTCCTATTTTCACTCATATGGATATAAGCTATTTCGTTGTGTGATATGAAGGTCGACGTTGTTTTTTTTTTATCATGCTCATTAATGTAACTTGTGATTTTGTTACTACCTCAACTGTCGATGCGAGGACGTGCCATTAGTTGAGTTTAACTTAGGTTTACATGGCGGGTGTCGTTGATGAAGCAGATGACGTTTCCGGAATACCTAGTTGTCGAATCCAACCGTCTTAGTGATATAAAATCATGCTTTTTTTCCTCCCCCGTTACCCATTGCACATTGAATACAATTGTGTAACAAGCACAATAAAAAATATCCCATCAGCCATATTACGTTACCCTTAATTCTTACTATCTTTATCCAACATTTAAGAACTATTCTGGTTATCCGTGAACCATTTAACTGTCTTCTTTTAACGAAGTGCAATAACATATCATAGTTCCCTTCACGTTCTATGTAAAACACACCATGAAGGATACGACAAAGAATGCCCCAAACGCTGTACTGCCAGCATCTGAATATAGAGAACTTCTTAACACCCTATTTTCCTTTTATTTGTTTTGGTTTATCGATTTAACGCACTTGTCATTGGACTGTAAAATACTTTGTCATATATCTACAAACCAACCATATTTACTGGAAAAAGGGAGATCACTCTTCCAGTCTTCTAAGCTAGTTCATTGTACAGCTTCCCGTGTACGGCCTTTCATAGATTCAGATAAGCTCCTCAATTCTGTCCGCAATACTAATAGACCATCGTACCAAAAGCAATACACAATTCTGCACTAGATTCCATACTAATTTTGAACACAAAACAAAACAAAAACTTCCTTTGACAAAGTATATTTGTCACAAAAAAGGCTTTTTTCCTCGCATAAGCTGAACATTTTGCTAGAATCTATATACACCAATAAGTCTTTGAAATGTGTTCACACGTATATACACCAATAAGTCTTTAATATGTGATCACAAATCACAATGAAGGACTCAAACGTTTAGTTTATATAAAAGGCGCTCACTCAACCCTGACCAACACAGTTTGAGAGTTCAATACTACGGGGAAAATGAAACTGTATTTGAAACCTGATGGTGTTTAGGTTATATGGAAAAGAAGACACGCAAAATTGTTAAAACGAAAATGCATTCACATTCACAAGCACATGCATGTAAATTACAAAAAGTAAACACTGAAGTGACAATGATACATCTTTTAAAGTAACAAGGTAAAATATTAAAGTACTTATGGTCAAAAACAGTCATAGATACCGAATATAAGTATGTGGATTAGAGGGAAAGGTTAGGAGATTACGGTTTATCCCTCAGATTGTTAACAACATTTCACAAACTGTCAAAAACTATTAAAATCATCCAATATTCCTGCCATCCTGGCACTTTGGTTCCGCTACGTCTTCGATACTATTGCTCACTCATGTTCTGCTTTCAATTTTTCTCTGTTCACAGTGATGAACTATCAATGCGCTACTATAGCTGCCTGGGCATTTGGAAGCCACTAGATAATTCAAATATTGTAGCTGTTCCGATGAAATGACGCATCTAGATCCTTATTACAGATTTGCATTCCATGGAGGTTAAATTCCTAAGGGACTAAATTCAAAAGCATTTATTACAGGTGGTCTGTACACATTCGTACGAAAGGGAAAACCCAACAATATTTGCTCCTCTCTGAATCCAATTAAAAAATAACAAAAGGCATTAATATATAGTTCAAGATAGTAAATGAATGAAATTTTAAAACTTTTTACAATATATTACTCGTGTTTTCACTCCTTTCTTGCCCTGGGAGTTTTGTCGTATATACACAGGTGTGAGGGAACATAAGTTGAATTTAAAGTATATATATACAAACCAAATTGAACGCTCTATCAACAGCTAAGTTCATTTGAGTATGGATGACATTGATACACAAATAAAATATATGTGGAAAATTAGATCACACTTTTCCGGTCAACTTGAACCACATGTTGAACCTATATGGAAAGCTGAAATCATAATCTATTACTTCATATAATTAAATGTTAATCAGCACTTAGTGCGCATGTTGTTATATCGATCGGAATAATGGTATATTGAAGAAACTTGTAGGTGATAGTAAGTGGATTTTTTACCTTTAGTGTATGACAACAAAAAGAATATGTGTACGATCTTTTGTACACAATAACAGATGATGCTCTCTTTTTTCTACAATTTCGAAATCCAAGGCTTACGCGCTCAAAACTACATTGTGTATCGAGAGCAAAAGACTTGGTTTTCGAAGACACATTTTCAAAAGAGTTGTGACATTGCTCAAGGTATTCGTTCTTGAGTTAGGTTGCACATAGAACCGGTGATTTCATACAGGTATTTGTCTTCCAATCACTGGCAGATACTGTCGGTACCGATACTACATCAAATATGTAGCCTTATTAATTGGGGATTAAAAGTAACTTTTGGTTTACGTAATATTAACTGATGCGACGTAGATAACAAAACATGTGTGACGCAATTCTTAGTAAAACAAAGCAAACAAACCTTATATAACATTATCCATCAAAGCCAGTGAGAAATGAAATTTGGCTAGTGGCATATGTGGAGCGCCAAAATGTCCCATCATGGCTGAACTGGTTGAATAATTCTCAATAATATTAACCTAAATCTTATGAAGAATTTGTGAAACAAACCAACAGGTGAGACGTTCTTGTAAATAGTCAATGATTTGATTTAGTTACATAACCAGAAAAACAGAACAAAGTACAAAATATTTCAGTCGACGTTATATTAATTATTTCATATAGTACAAAGTGTTTATGTAGACGTCTTCAAGTTCACTATATAATAACCTATTCTTATCAAGTGTTAATTCTCGCCGAGGCACGTTCATCACCGTCAAACTAGGTCGCTAATTAGTAACCGTTTTGAGCCGTTAAGAGAATCGCAGCTCATTTTAAGTCGGAGGAATTTTAACAGATCTTACGTACGCTAGCGCAGTACACCCAGGGGTCATGGCGAAAATTGGCGCAGAAGTCGGCAACCAATAAATCTTTTGATTCGATTTCATAACACTACATTTGGATATTGGAATTCCAACGAACCCCTAGTTACGTTACTTACTATGCACTGGAAACTTTTTCCAGTATGGCTAAACATTTGATCAATCATTTCTGAAAAGTGAAAGAGACATACACAATGTACCTTATGGAACTTTCGTGAAATAAAAGAGATGAAATAAAATAAAATAAAAAATGCCACAGCATCCGAACGGGATTCGAACCCTGGACCTCAGACCATTGATCTAGCCAACTGTCAGTCGCGCTACAGGTAAAAATCAAAAATGAAATTAAGGGGAGGTTTCTTTAAGTATGAAAATCTACTCTGTAAAATAGCCTTACATTGTTTACGATTATTTCAACGAGAGTTGCAGTACTGCATATAGTACAGAAGTTTAGTTAGTTTAAACAATTGTTTATAAAGTTCACAGAAAGTCAAAGAGCAATCAATAAATCAGAGAAAAAAAGTTCCACCGATCTCAATAACGTTTATATACTTACTCTATCACTCAATAACGATACAAAAAGTAGAGATCACATTAGAATAGTCAACTGCGTGAAAAAGCAGGAAACAGTACTCGCAGTATATACTGTGGATTCGTGATTTTGTTATTTTTCCTATATTCTATGGACGGGTATTTCAAAGAACGGGGAAATAAGTCATCTTAAATACATATATGAGCTTCATGATCAGGTTCACATCTTTCCATTGGTATACGTTTTGTGTGTCTGCGGTGCCGATATAGTTTTTTATAATGATTGAAATCTTAGCATTAATCGCCTTAGAGAACAAACAGTTTCCAGATCGTCTCATGTCACATGAATTGATGACGTCACGGACAATGACGAGCGTGACGTTAAAACTTGTTAAAAGCCGATCGACCCAGATAGGCCCTGTGGCAGTCAACATATAAATCAAATCGACCCAAATCAGCCAAATGTCAGTCCACGAAGTTAAACAAGCTGAAAAATAGCCCATCCGACTGTTGCTGCTCCTTTGATCATTGTAAACACAACTTTCGCTTTTGGATTTTGTGTTATTGCAATCACCTTGTTTACATATTTATTATCTAAGGACTTGAGGAATTTTGTCAGGTTATCGTCACGGTCTTGTAAGCATTCATCAAGCTGGTGTTTGATAATTTCGATCTCTTCTCTGAGTTGCTGACTCGCTTCCTCTTGTTTTCCAATGTTATCCCGTGCTTCCTTCTCAAGTTCACGTAGCTTTTGCTCGTTCGCATTCTGTTTAGCTTTCAAGCGGTAAACTTGTTTTTTGTATTTTTCAACAAGCTGTTGTTTCAATTCGTCTATTTCTTTCTGCTTTTCTTTGTTTATCTCACCTCTCACTTTCTCTTCAATTTCCCGACATTTCCTCTCAGCTTCCTGAAACATCTCATTGGTGTAGTTGCGTCCCTGATGGCTCTGTACAAGTTCATTGATCTTTTCCATCAGTTTCCTGGCATCGATGTCATTTTTCGAACTATTGTTGATAGCAATACAACGTTTGTTGCATTTTCCTATTATTTCCTCCAGCGAAGATGGTATCTTCTTCAAAAACTCCTCAAAGGACATGTCTTTTGCTTCAAGCAAGTCTCTTCCGGTGAATACCAAGATCATATGTTTGAACACATCTTCTCCAAAAACTTCAGCAATATGTTTGACAGTGTCGTGCTCCTCAGCAGTAAATCTCCCTGCCTGAAGGACCAGAAGAAATACGTGAGGTCCAGGCATGGATAGACTGATGCACTTGGAAAGTTCTTGAAGGGTTTTCTCGGTAGGTACATTTGTATCAAACACTCCCGGAGTATCGATTAACAGGATCTGCTGTCCACACCTGATGTGTCTAGCTTCTTGACATTTCTCCGTCAAGGATGAAGCTGCAAAGCAAGACTTGAAAACGTCCTTACCTAGAATGGTATTACCTGTAGAGCTTTTCCCAGATCCGGTTTTTCCTAACAATACAATTCGTAAAGCCTGTTCGTCGCCTTCCCAGTAGGAACCTTATGAAGAAGACATATTTTGTTTAAAATATGATATTGTAGACCAAAAGAAAAAAAACTATTACTGTTTTATACAACTAATTGTTACTGAACACCGGGAAATGTTCGCGAAAAGAGCGAATGATGAAAGTTTGACTGAGCGAAGATTTCCCAGCATGCAGTAATGTTGTTTGACATATTTTGCTATTTGTAACAATGCTGCTTCGTCTTGAAATCATTATTTTCTCTATACATATGATATACTATTATATTTTTTATAAGAAAAGCGTTTACATTTTAAAGTTTTCCATCAGATGTAAAGCTAACAAATGAGGAAGGCATGGCCACAGAATACATATTACAGAAAAACGAGGAGCAAACCACCCTTCAGATGCAGTGGATGACAGTAGATGGGGATACTTTTAAACTAGTTTCCTTCAGCCTTAGTCGGGCACTTATAAACAAAAAGCTTAAGTTTCCTTCATCATTAGTCGGGCGTATATAAACAACAAGTTTCCTTTAGAATTAGTCGGGCACTTATAAACAACTAGTTACCATTGGTATTAGTCATGCACTTATAAACAACTAGTTTCCTTCAGCATTAGACGGGCACTTATTAACAACTAGTTTTCTTCGACATTTGTAACTAGTTGTTTATCAGTGCCCGACTAAGGCTGAAGGAACATTGTTGTTTATAAGTGCCCGACTAATGCTGAAGGAAAGTTGTTGTTTATAAGTGCCCGACTAATGCTGAAGGAAACTTGTTGTTTATAAGTGCCCGACTAATACCAATGGTAACTAGTTGTTAATAAGTGCCCGACTAATTCTAAAGGAAAGTTGTTGTTTATAAGTGCCCTACTAATGCTGAATGAAACTTGTTGTTTATAAGTGCCCGACTAATATAAATGGTAACTAGTTTTTTTTATCAGTGCCCGACTAAGGCTGAAGAAACATTGTTGTATAAAAGTGTCCGATTAATCCTGAAGGAAAGTTGTTGTTTATAAGTGCCCGACTAAGGCTGAAGGAACGTTGTTGTTTATAAGTGCCCGACTAAGGCTGAAGGAACGTTGTTGTTTTTAAGTGCCCGACTAATACGAGTGGTAACTAGTTGTTTATCAGGGCACTTAAAAACACTCTTATAAACAACAAGTTTCCTTTAGAATTAGTCGGGCACTGATAAACAACTAGTTACCACTGGTATTAGTCGGGCACTTATAAACAACAACTTTCCTTCAACATTAGTCGGGTACTTATAAACAACAAGGTTCCTTCAGCATTATTCAGGCACTTATAAACAACAAGTTTCCTTCAGCATTAGTCGGGCGTTTATAAACAACAAGTTTCCTTTAGAATTAGTCGGGCACTGATAAACAACTAGTTTCCATAGCATTTGTTGGGACCCATAAAGTATAAGCGTCTTGAGTTTTGTATCTTGGCACTAATGATTGATTAGCATACTGATTAATAATATGTTCAATTAAATATTGATAAATTTGCCATCGAATGCGATACTTACTTTCAGGGTTTCCTTCAGATTGTCTAGCCATATCTGAATATCTGAAACAAGAGGAATACTCTATGAATTATTTAAAAACAACTCTATATTTTTAAGGTTACTCCTTTTGACAAACAAGGCATAATATTTGCAATTATGTAACTACACATAGTAATTAATGAAGTTGTATTGCATATTTAAATGTACATTGTAATACATGATAGAAGTGCATTTTTGGATTCGCAAACACAACATTCAATGTAATTCTTTCGTTTAATTATAATACAATATCAAGTTATGTAGCACTAAATACTTTTTATGTAAAATGAGTTAAAATTATTATTTATTCAACACAAGTACACTGTTCTTCGTCAGTCGTATGTAGTTGATTAAAATTATAGACTAATGTTATTGTCATCATCACTATCTCATCAAATAAAACAGAATGGCATCCTTTTATGTACTTTGTTGTTTCTGTCGCCCTGAGGAACAGTGACTCACGCATGTGTGATCACGTCGGGGAGACCAGTTTTTGTTAACACTGCACCACCCGTTATCTCGCGCACTAGATCTAACGGCACATTTAGGTACCTCACGCATTATGTCTTATTAAATACAACTCCTTAGTATAAATAATGTTAGAGAAAGTTATCAAATATTCTATGTTTTTTTCTATTTTCAATTTTACTATCTAGTAACTGTATTTAAGCAACACAAAATAATAAAACAATTAATAAGCAAAGTCGCAATTTCAACTGAAAAACGATAAAACTTTTTATATTAACTTAGTTATATTAACAAAAGAAGACTTCGTGAATTCCTTGAAAAAAGTTCAAGGAGAATAAGAACAGGAAGTGTAAATCACATAGAACACATTATTTTATTATGAAATATTAGGCCTGTACATATATTTAAAGCTGGTCAAATAAGTGGCTCTAATGATTCACTGGATACAAAACTTAAACATTCACCTGGTTTACCACTTCTCTAGATCTGTCCGTTCATTCCAAATGGTATATCAGATTCTTGATTAGAAGCGAATATATCACCTGTAAACAATCAGTGTTATTTAGGGTCGTTTTTGTGACATCATTTGTTATCTATTGTTAGCAACCCGTACTCATGACGTACACATGAATATGAACTGACCTTCCCGGAATGGAAGTGAAAGTACATTGCATATTAATTTCAAATCCGTGTGTTACAGCATACCTTCTTAACAAATCTAGTTCTTGTTTCGTTTTCTCCTTGTGCAAACATCGTTTTACTAAGAATGTCAAATGTCAGTTAAATACCTATTGATTTTCGTTTGTGGTAGATATTTAACCTGTGATGTAACATGTTCAAGAAATGTTATGTAATCTTGTAAGTGCTGTATTTTCCTATTTTCAAAGGCCTTTTACACTTAGACTATGAAGGTCTTAAAACAAGAATCTGAATGATGTTTGTTGGTAGGTAGGTACATTCAGATCGATTCAGTAATTTGTCAAGATGATTCATTGAGGTTTTCCTTTTGAATTAATTCTGTAAAATGAAACTGTTTCGATTTAATAATAATAATAATAATAATAATAATAATAATAAACTTTATTTATTGAGGATACAAAACCTGTTTAGCAATGCTAATCTTCCACAGGGTCCTCTGTTAGTAAAATTGGTTAGTTAAAAGACAAAGTAGTATCACAGCAAATAAATGTACATAAACTAATTGTTGGTCTACTAAAACAGCAATTAATATAACAGTTATTTCATAATTTAAACGGTCGTTCAATACAATTACAATAAAATTATCACAGAAGCACGAAATATATTCCGTGCTTAACCCATTATGGTTTTCATTAAAAGACAAATTGTCTAATTTACATATATGCTAATGTAGCAAAAGCTAAAAATTGACAGAATACACGCTAATATAGCGAAAATAAAACAAATCAAAGCTGTATCTAAAAAGTATAATAGTAAAAATAAAAGACAATTAAACCGCATTCTTAATGTTACCAATCATATTTTGTTTGAGTTTTGTCAAGGAGGAAGAGAGTCTTACTTCAACCGGTAAATTATTCCAAATCTGGCTCCCTTGTACCAAAAAGTGTTTGGAATAAAATGTGGTACGGTGTTTGGGTACCTTGACAGAGTTTTGGGATGCTGATCTAGTATATCTGTTGTTAGACAAATTAAATTGATTAGAAAGATATCCTGGAACTAGATTATTTATACATTTGTACACCATAACACCTCTTTTGAATTTCAAATATTCGCCAATTGGTAACCACCCTAATGAAGAAAACATTTCTACTGATGGTGTATCAAATGGAGCATCCAACAGTAATCTTGCAGCTTGTTTCTGCGCTTTTGACAGTTTTTGTAGAAGATTTAAAGAGCATCCGCTCCATACTGTGCTACTGTACATGAAGTGGGGAAAAATACATGCGTGAAAAAATTTAAGTCTAGCTGAAAGTGGTAAATATTGACGGATGCGTCGAAGTAAACCCAAACCACTGTTAATCTTTGAAACAACAGATGCTATGTGATCTAACCAAGATAAACTGTTGTCAATTTTTACACCAAGGAGTTTTTCACTCTTTACTTGTTCAATACATTCCTGATCTAATATTAGGCTTAGAGCATCATCTATTCTGTTAAGTTTCTGTTTTGTGGCAATAACCATACATTTCGTTTTATTCCTATTTAGAATCATTTTATTCTCATTACACCAGTCTTGGACTTTACTCAGATCAGCTTGTAACTCATCCTGTACAATAGAAATAGAACTTCCAGATGCACTCAGAGTCGAGTCATCAGCATACATATCTGTACCTGATTTTAGCCCAAGAGGTAAATCATTGATAAAAATAAGAAACATCAGGGGACCTATTATGGAACCCTGTGGAACACCATGAGTAATTTGATTACTTTTAGAAATATGATTAGATACTGTCACTTTTTGAAACCGGTGAGAGAGATAAGATTGAAACCAGCTCAAAGATAATTTGTCACATTGATATATGGCTAACTTTTGAATTAAAACCTCATGATCTACCATGTCAAAGGCTTTTTTAAAATCTATAAAAATAACACCATTGACATTTCCTTTGTCAATTTCCTTTGCCCACTTATTAACAATACTGAGTAAGGCAGTCTCGCAAGAATGATGCTTACGGAACCCTGACTGTGAGGAAACAAGAAGATTATGTTCATTAATATACTTATAAAAACTATTATGAATATGTCTTTCTAAAATTTTTGATAAAACTGGTAAAATAGACACTGGTCTATAATTAGAAATGTCAGTCATTGCTCCACCTTTATGAAGTGGAATAACTTTTGAAATTTTCCACTGACTTGGAAATTTACCTGTGGTGACACTCAAATTTAATATATATGTCAGTGAAGATGAAATTTGAGAGCTTGCTGCCTTCAACAATTTACAACTGATATCATCAAGACCAGTGGCCTTGTGTACATCTAATGACCTAAGAAAATCTAAGGTAAAATTCTCCGTAACTCTGGGAGTTGAATAAGTACAATTTTCTGGTATATTAGACCGTACAAAATTCCTTAATGTCTCAAATGAGGAAGATACATCACTTCAAGTTGAACTTAATTTACTAGCAATTGAAGAAAAATAGGTGTTAAAATTTTCAGCAATTTCAAGCTTGTCATATACTGATTTATCATCAACTTGAATCATACTAGGAAATGTAGCAGAATGCTTAGGTGATTTGAACGAAACAAGCACTAATATAAAAAAAAAAAATTGCCTAAAGTTCATAACTACAGGTAGATAAACAATCTCTGATACCAGTATGTGTATTTTACCTCTTACATGCAACACCCACTGAGACCTACGCACTAGGTCTTACAATGACTAACTATCTATATTTAGGACATTTTGCTAAAAAATACGCGGTTTAAGCGTCATTGATACAAGTGGGGCACAATAACTGTGCACATACATACAATGCGTTTACTTTAAATACAACATTCCCATATCCCAGCAACAGGTTTTATTAATTATTTATTAATGTATACCTACATACGATACACACCTACACAATAACTAGATATATCTGTAATTTATATGAAAGTATAAATATGACTTAGCTTCCTTAACTATAACTAAAAGTAAAATCGGATTGGTAGATAGGGTTCAAAAAATGAAATAAAACTGGACAGAACAATTTATTCCACGGTACAATCATAATATTATGTTTTGCCTGTCTCCACTCAACAATCCAGAACATTAAAGCGAATCAAAGACGTATTTTGAACTAATTATAAACAAACGACAAAACTAAGTCATAACATGAACAGAGAAAAGATTTACACGAATTACCTTGACAATATGACCAGGAAGTGTAGATCACGATGCAAGCACACCATATTTTTATGACTATATTTGGCCTGAAATATATTTAAAGTTGATCATATTTGTGGCGTGAAGGTTTCACAGGACACAGAATTTGTAAACACTTACCTTGTTCTTCACCGTTAATTCCAAATGATTTTTCAGGTTCTAGATCAGAAGCGTATACATTATATGTAAACAGCCAGTGTTTCTCAGGGTGATTGCTGAGACATCAGTTTTAGTACATTTTTCTGTCGTAAGGACCACGTACTGTGCGTGCGCAACACTGTGTATAGGTAGGCTGTTGTTGTTACCATGTTTGTATTACAGGTATACCTGGGTGTAACAAAATATTGTTGGATGTACCTGTTATATATTCCTATATAAATATACACGTCATATATTCTGTATTTTGGCGAGCGCATATGCATAGCCCGTCATGAGTAATCGATTTTGAAAGGGTCTATTACAAACAGACAATGAAGGCATTAACGCTAAATCTAATCTAAAGGTGTGTGGACTGCTAGATGCATGCAGATAGTTCTTTAGAATATTAAAATGAAAACTGATGGTTATTAGGATGGCGAATTTAGATACCTAACTTAAATATAATCAGAATAAAATCTCTAAGGTGTGCCATACACTTATTGTTTGCATACCTCAAAGTCCCTACTGAACAATATGCAATACAACAAAACATTGGTGTTATTAAAGTTAACAAATTTTAAAATAAAATTAACAACAACAAACGGCTGTTGTGTTCTACAAAATAGAAATAAACAGTTTCGATCAGTCATAAAGGTGACTACATGTCTTTCGACATATATATAGACATGGCAATGCATTATGAGTTTCATTTTTAATTTGTCTATTAAACGATGTTTGGCGCGATATGTGTCATCAGTTACATGCGTATCCTCGAAATGCTAGTGCTTACGCTCAGTTACGGTATTTGCACCCCTGGAATATGTCAAGACAAAAATGAATCACATAGCTTATTGATTGTACCCAGTTTTAGTTTACATGTATCATCCACAATGTGGCGCATACAAAGCCTTTCATTTGGTCAAAACTATAGTCCACGGTTACAGAGAATGAGAGTGAGCGTTACCCCTGGAATAATTTCAAGGATATTACTTACTTTGTAGACTATTTCCCTTGACTAGACAGTTATTTGAACAGATCATGTTTAGTCCAGGATGTAATTGTGATATGTAATGTTGGTAATTTTTGGTGTTGAGACACATTCGTACCATCGACATAAAACAGTATTTTCAGAGATCATTTTGTCGAGATATTCATTTCGTGAGAAGTTGTCATGGCTTTTTTTTAAAATTTTTAATTCTAGTTAATATTACCGTTATACGAAACCTAAAACAAAGTTGGTTGAATTAAATAAACCCAATTAGAATAAGCTGTTATTCCTTCACGTGATATTTCTTGGAAGTTGATTGGTTAACTCTCTTGTTCTGTTGCATCAATCATTGGAATGTCGATGTCACATTCAGGTATTAACACTATAAAAGCCGGGTGACCTACTTACGTGATATTTATCTCGACAAAATTATCTCGAAAATGCGATAAAATGTCAGCAAAATTTAAGCTTATTGAGACATATTGATATATTATGTCGACGTGTTCTCAGCTTCAAAGTAGAAGTTTAAAATGTTTAGTTCGAGCGGTTCTAACGAAACCGTACCACGAGAAAGTTGAACTCAATTTTGCTACGATATTTACAAATGTATTATTTATGTATATTATCAAGGAGGGATGATAGTGCAGATTTCAGCAAGCAACTTCAAATATTTGATAATTTAGGGAGTTGTTTTGATTGTAGATTATAAACAATGCTAAAGGTACTGTAGCTTTAGACACCAGGTTATTTTGACAAACGTTCAAAGATTCAACTCCACCGATACAAATCTGGACATCATTTTCTTCTGATGGCTCAGACCAATTACAAGTACGACATTTGTTAAAATCCTCATTTTTAGTTTGATGTTGTTTTTACTCTGATATCTTTTCTGTGTTGTGGCACGGTTCATAATATACACACTTTACCATTTATTTAATTTGAAATTTATATGTACTCCTGTATTCTTTTAAATTCATAAAAGGGGTTCTGTGCATTTTGCTTTCTGTTTCAACTGTAGTTAGCACCAATTTGTATGTTCAATTTTTGTCAAAAAAACAACACTGATGAGTCCTAGAAAGACGAAACAGCTGTATAATGCAGTGTAATTAATTGTTGGCATACTGAATATATAACCAAGTTTAACGGTGCTTTAATTTGAGTGTGTTACATTAAATAGTTAACGTTATTGAAACGTGAAAACGTGAACAGTTTTAAATGTGTTGAAGCATAACATAAATATCATAAATTGACTAACAGGTAAAATAAGTGCATCAACAATCAATAAAGCCTAATGTGTCTATCAGATAGCGGTTTCCCTTTTTTGTGGCTCCTTTGTCTGTTGCCTTGGTCTGTTGCAAAAACTTGAGGTTTTTGAAGTAAAACCAATTTTCATGATGTAATACTTACCATAACTTTAGTATGCATATACAATACCTACACCCATCTTTGTAGCCCAAAAACAAAAGATTCAAATATCCCTACCTCCCTACCGTGACGTAACCTCTATCTCGATGACAGAGCCACGGAGTGATCTCCCTTCCTCAAACCCCCTTTTATGGAGCCTAAAGGCAGCCAGGATGAGGAGGCAAGGGGAGGAATACAGGGTGGGACTCCATAAAGTTATGGTAAGTATTACATCATGAAAATTGGTTTTACTTCAAAAACCTCAATTTCATTTCAGTAATAATTACCATAACTTTAGTATGCGAATTCGTCTTACCGTAGTGGAGGCTTCGAATCCAGGCAGACCAGGCTGACGGAACAAACTCGAGACATGCTCAAGGTAGGGAAAAGGTTCAAGGAACCNTATTTATAAGCTTTTACTTTTACTTTTCAAAAACACCTTCCATTAACAGCAACTTCTTCATACCTCAGAAAAAAATGAAGTGCATGCTCTACACAAACCCTACACGATAACCTTTTACCTTTCTAAGCCTGATATTCATCGTTTCGTCTGATTTTGATTTGGTTTCCATGCGATGGCTAAACATGAGGATTTTCAATATTGCACGCTTATAATTTATTTTAAACACAGTGTATATAACAGAAATAGTTGGTGGTCAAATTGTATAGATGGTAACTTTCGGGGGATATTTAATTTCGCGTTCATCAAAGATACCGCCACATTAGATACCGAGCGAACAAAAGAATCGACACGTTTACCCTTTACCTGTTTACCCGAATATTGAAGAAGTCAATATCGCATTTTATGTTATATCGACAAAACGCTAGTAAAGTAAATCCATATTTCTACCTGGCAATGTTGTGCGAAATTTAATTCCCGCGAACTAGCTCTGATGTGGTCACCCGCGAAATATTAGCAAGCGAAACTAAACATCCTCCAAACGGAGTAGGATATTTATGTCAGGTGCCTATGCATATTTTTGTAATAGCATAAGTATAGGATGTATTAAATCATTCATTAGACTCCCAAAATTTATGCTCATCCATGCTGAAAGTTTGCGAAGACTTGAGGTGAATTGCTTCTGCATTGGGCTGCAATTTTTTGTCAGAACATATATAATGTTCATGAGTGGGGTGCAAAATGTAAAGCAACTGCTTGTTAGATAATCAACTATGCTTCTGAAATCGCAGCGAAGTGATTAATTGTTCAGTTTAAGATCCGTTTCGTGATCTCCAATCGCTATCAAACTTAACGTCAGTGTTTAGATCCCTAATAAGTCATCGTAAAACCTTCTGACAAGTACGTTACGTATTAACGTGTAACGTCTTTACGTCATTATTTACATCGGAAAACCTTCTGACAGGTACGTTACGTATTAACGTGTAACGTCTTTACATCATTATTGACATCGTAAAACTTTCTGACAGGTACGTTACGTATTAACGTATATATAAAAGCAGAAGTAAGTTATAACATCAAAATTCTTACTTTATTGTCATCTTAAAACCCAATTTTATTAGTTATTGTAGCATGGAAAATGACGTTTCAGAATAACCAGTGAGATGCGTACATATTCAGTGTGCCGAAATGGAAACGTTTTATAGCATTAATTTAAAAAAGGATTATACCTTTACAACGACCTCCTTCAGTCTTTTTTGATGAATGCGATTTTTTGTTTGTTATTGTTGTGTTTGTTAAATTAAAAAAGAAATAACGCAAACTATACTGCAGGTTATACAGGTTTAAAATGCCTGTCTTATCTCAATATTTCCTAGCCTAAAGTATATGAAAAAATATGAGCTCATGTGGCTTGATCAAAACAAATTCCGATGAATTATTCAAGGTAAGATGTTGCAATCGACCTCAGCATGCGCAGTCATATTGACGGACTGCTGTCGAAATATTTCTTCTTAGAAAAAAATTCTCAAAAGGGGAAATTGCTAATAATATTCAAGCCAACAAATGATGTTGTGCAGTAGACGCCAGTTTTCCGAAAATATATCAAAAATCTGTTGGTTGTGAAATTCCATCATTTACCATAAGACTGAAATGAAAAAGACGCAGAAATGAACAACGATTTAACGTTTATTAACAAAGTATGAACAAAATATTGCAGGATGTATATATACATAGTGAATTTCTTAACACTGTATGTGAATTACATTCAACGTGGAAAAAAATGCACGATTTACATTAATGAACACAATGACAAATTCTCATCTATCAGTAAGTTAAATACTTATAACTGTATGTTCGGTAATAATTATTATTATTACAGGTGTTATGACGAAAGGTATGACCGTCGTATACTACAGACATCCCGTAGTACGACAATGATATACATTGTGTACTGTTACCATTGTGTAATATTACCGTGCAGCACTATGATCATATCGTCGGTGACTTTGACGGTGACCTTCTACGATCGTGACCTCATATGGTTGCACGCATCGTACCGCGCTTTGAAATTCTATAGTGATTTGTTATATATTGATATTCAGCGTTAAGAGAGAAAAACCCGTGAACTATTATTCCCTATAACTGTATCTGTGCCTCAAATTACAGTTTCCGGAGAGCTACATTAACAATTTATACAAAATATATACAGGAAACGTTGGACACATCTCCAGCTAGTCGTCTTAGATAACTGTTAGTTTTCAAGCGACCATGGAGACGAGTTGCATTTATCAACTTTGTCGGTACCAGATGACAAATTAAAACCATTCAAAATATAAACATATGAAACGATAAATTATAACAAATAAAAATCTTATAATGTGCTGTTAAAGATGTTTCTTTCTCCACCAATTGGACACGTCAGTAAATTACAGCGGCCATTTTTCCTAGATCCGTTTTTTTCCTATCATTACATTATCTCAATATCTTGCGTTTCTTTGTTGTTCGACAGATGTTCAATACACATATGCAAATCGTTTCTGTTTCTTCTATCAAGAACTATAGTATTCATGGTGTCATCACTTATCTGAGGAAATATTTCAGAAATTCCCTGCTTTAAGTAGACCCCGTGTCTGGAAATTAGTTCCTCTTCCTCTTGTTCCTCTTCTTCAAGTTTTACTTCATATGGATCTTCTTCTTCTTCTTCTTCTTCTTCTTCGTCGTCGTCTTCTACTTCTTTACATTCTTTTTGGATTCCATATTTCTCATCTGTAACAAGAGCTGTACGAAATAATTAAAACACCCAACTCTATCTTTTGGGTTAACTTTTGACACAAAGGTCCTCAGTATCTTTGACAAGAGTATATTTGTCATAAGCAAGTTGTAAATTAATAACAGTTTTGAGTATAATTACTTGGCTTCAATAATATTCTATTGCACTATTAATTGTTATATTAGATACTACACGTCAGAGACTCCAGTTACATAAATTCAAATCGTTATTACGTTTAATATAATTATGGCAGGCATCACATTGTGTAACCGAGATTTTATATAAAAAAAACAAATTTCAGATTAATATATATTATTACTGAGCTTATCATTCAGAGCTTTATTGAAGATCATAGTGGCGTTACAATATGCATGACTTTGTCCTTACTTAGACAATATATAAACGCCGCCCTTTGTCAGTTTCTTTGTATTCGCAATACACTTAGTATAAGTATACAAAACAGGGTCAAACATTTTCTGTCGGTAGATGTCAGGACTATATCGTGTCAGTCTGCGGTCGGTCGGAATTACCATTTGTCACCGTAGGATAAATACGGCAGACCGTCGAAAAAGCCGCCACCTGTTGTCTTGCAACGTTTTACGCAACATATGGCCGCTGCATCCTTATACCGAATGCGAACAGACATACGTCATAACTATCGGGGCCAAGTTGTTCTAAACGTGATTAGATTAATCACTATTTAATGACAATTTTTCAACCTATAAAAATTTGGTCGATAAAATTGCGTTATTTTGCATGCAATTTTACTCTACTTGAATATTTACCATGTGGGAAATTTAATATACAGTGAGTTATAATGGTCGTGTGTTGTTGAAAGTACGCAAACAATGGACTTTTCGCTAATCACCGGTTAATCTTATCATTTTTTGAACACCTGGGCTGTTTGCCAATTAGGTGGGATCGATTATAGCGCATGTGACCAGTCAACTGTCGAAAGGTCTGTTTCTAACACCAGTTAATAATGTGACCAGTCAAACTGTCGTAGAGATGCATAAATTAGTGTGTTACGTTTAGTAATTTAAGAAGTTGAACAGTTTAAACTACTTATTATACAATTATATAGAGAGCTAGGTAAAAAGAAATGGCCTTCTGTTCAGTAGGGTGATACAAATGATATTCCCATTACGTTAACGCCTACATTCATACTGATACAATTCAAGTGAGAACAACAGTTTTTATGAACTTTTTTGGCAGGTACACGGAACCAAATCACCACATCAATCCCACTTTTTAATCACCGACAGACTAACATAATCCCTAGTCATAAATATATTCTATAAAAAGTGATTTAGATATGTTAAACAAATGTTAAATAAACTGATTTTAATACAAATCCTACTTCTTCTCTTCTTGATTTCTCTCTCAAACAAATAAAAATCCTCACCGTCTCTTGTAGTTTAAGTCTCCCTCGATAGTGTACACAAATTATATATGACTATGACTAAGTGTCTGTATATAGCATATTTGGCAAACCAAAACGCGGTTATTGCGTAAATCGGTTTCATCAAAACAATAAACGAAGCACATACGCATTGTGANTACACTTATAAAGACTGACTTTCAAACTAGTTAAATACTATCATAAAGTTATATCATTGTAGACTTGCTCAAGTAAATAAGCTGAAATATTGTTTAAACGAAAATTTTAAGAATAAAATCGAAAACTTAAGGGAAACATTCATATTTAAGTTAGTGTATCTTTCAGTGATGTATACACATTAAACAGTTGTTTTCTGCCCTGTCAGTCAACAGTTGAATTTTTCCAAAAGAGTTTGGACCCATCAGATGAAGTGTTTCCCGAGGTTGCAAATATTTTTGACTATTGTTCGATAAGGCATGAAACAATTGTTATGTTACTTGACTAACATGATCGATGAAAAAAAGTTAAGTAAATAACAATCTGCATTTACTAGCAGTACGCGTATACATTTCTTATCTTACCCTTAAAATTGTTTCATGGCTTATAGAGTCGCAGTTTTCAATTAAATGCAACACATTTTCATCGTTAATTTCTTCAAATCCTTCCATCACTAGACTACCTAGCGATTGTGGCGGCAGAACAACACAATGCATTCTACGTCATAACTATCGGGGCCAAGTTGTTCTAAACGTGATAAGATTAACCACTATTTAATGACAATTTTCAACCTATACAAAGGTCAATGAAATTGCGTTATTTTGTATGGAATTTTACTCTACTGAAGTATTTACCATATGGGAATGTTAATATGCAGTGAGTGATAATGGTCGTGTGTTGTTGAAAATACGCAAACAATGGAATTTTCGCTAACTATTGATGAATCTTATCATTTTTTGAACACCTGGGCTGTTTGCCAATTAGGTGGGATCGATTACAGCGCATGTGACCAGTCAGCAGTCGAAAGGTCTGTTTCTAACACTAGTTTAACACGTGACCGGGCAACAGTCGTACTCTTGCAAACACCAGTTTATCACGTGACCAGTCAAACTGTCGTAGAGATACAGAAATAAGTGTGTTATGTTTAGTAATTTAAGAAGTAAAACAGTTTAAACAACTCATTATACAATTATATAGAGAGCCGGGTAACAAGAAATGGCTTTCTGTTAAGGAGGGTGATAAAATGATATTTTCATTACGTTAACGCCTACATTCATATTGATACAATTCAAGTGTGAACAACAGTTTTTTATGTTTTTTATTTTTACAAGTACACAGGACCAAATCACCACATCAATCCCACTTTTTAATCACCGACTGACTAACATAATCTCTAGTCATAAATTTATTCTATAAAAAGTAATTTTGACATATACAAAAAAGTGTTCAATACACTGATTTTAATCTAAATCCTATTCTCCTCTTCTTGTTTTCTCTCTCAAAGAAAAAAATACTCACTGTCTCTTGTAGTTTAAGTCTCTCTCGATAATGTACAGAGATTAGATATAACTATGACTGATTTTCTGTATATAGCATATTTGGCAAACCAAAACGCGGTTATTGCGTGACTCGGTTTATCAAAACAATAAACGAAGCACATACGCATTATGATCATGCATACCACCTGTCTACAAACGATACCTATACAGTACTTGGATATATCGTTTACTATTTTAAGTTAAAAATAAATCTAGACTTTTCTTAACAATTAAGAAAGGTAGAAGGTAGAAATGATTCCAAAATAATAAAAGTGGTCAGGAAAATATAATTCGACGCCACAATCATATTGTATTGTATACGTACCTATTTTAGTGCTATTCTACTTTAGGCACTTTAAACAGTTGCTTATTTTCGACTTCGTTCATTGAAATTTCCATATATAATTTATATTGCATATCTTGTTAGTGGATCATTTCATCAATGTGCTAATTTAAAAAAAAAACAATGATACGCTGAAATTTGTGTCAACTTTTAAATAAATACTTTTTTGTCAATTCAACTATATGGCTAGTACAGTATATGAAAAGAAGCAGAAACAAAACAATGAGAATAAGACCAGGAAGTAAAGAACACCATCAATGTTGATCCTTTTGGAGGCGTTCAGGTTTCACTGGATACAAAACTCATTAACAGTTACCTGGTTTATCACCTCTTCATGTTTATTCTCAATACTATTTCATGTTCTGGCTACGAATCGCATACCTCATCCGTAAACGACCAGTGTTATTCAGGGTCGTTGTTATGACTGTTTGGTCTATTGATAGCAACACGTACTAATGATGTAAACATTAATATGAAGTGACCTTCCCGGAATTGAAATGAAAGTATAATAATTTCAAATCCTTGTGTTACAGCATACAGTGTACCGACTTAAAAAAAATAGTTCTCGTTTCTTTTTCTCCTTGTGCACACATCATTTTACTAAAAGTCGTCAAATGTCAGTTAAACATCTATAATTGATTTTCGTTTTACAGTAGATATATTTAACCTTTACTTAAATCTGTTCAAGAATGTTATGTATTCTTGTAGGTATTGTATTGCTTCTAATTTCAACAGGCATATCGTAACACGAAATACACACGAACAAATTCCACCGTTAATAGAAGACTTTAAACCACTGTACCTCATAGTGAGAGGAAATTAATCATTTGATGAAAATCAGGAAACCTTCACCGTTGGGGTTTGCTATGTAAAATACCATTCTGTAGGTGAACAATGCTGTACATAGGTAGCCCTTTGTTTTTATATGTTTGTATAACATGTATATGTATGCACGTGTATACGTAACGGGAATATACTTTTACAGTACAATGTTTCTTGAAGTTGAGATATGACATACACTCCATTATTTGGCAAACGCGTATGCGTCGTCGCCAGTAGTAATCGGTTCTAGTTAAGGCATTTAACAGTCAGACTTATACGGCCTTAACATTAGAATATGATTGATGCTTGTTGATGTTTACATTTAAGATAGTAGTTACATGCAGATCTGTTTAATATGTGGTGAAGATGATTAATTGAAATTTTCGTTTGGAAATAATCCTGTAGAATGAAAGTGTTTGGACCTACACGAGACTAACCTTAAAATAGAAAATGATATTAGCTGTTACGGCTAGTTTTGGGCACCTTACTTTAATCTTTTATATACTATTGCTCATAACTAGATAAAATATATAACACCAGTATGTGTATATACACCTCCTAACATCTCCCGGGATCTTACCAATTAGGTCTTACAATGACTATTTATCTGTATTAAAGACATTTTGCAAAACAATACGCGGTTAATTTGTCGAAGATAAAAGCGGTCACTATAACTACAATGTATGCAAATGAATACCATGCGTGTACAAGTCAATGATCGTCACAGGACTGTAACAGACTTTATTGATAAACTTTTAAAACATTTTTTACAGAACTCAACATACTTAACCATTTACGTTTTAGTAGTTAATTAATAAAGCCTGTTACTGTGATGTGTGGATGTTGTATTTAAAGTACACGCATTAACGTATGTGCATTGATAGTGTGCCCCGCTTGTATCGACGACGCATTAAC